ACATCGTTGTGAAAGCGCGCACACAGTGAAGGAAACGGGTGTTTTTGTGTCATCACACAGTCTGGTTGTGTCTGACTGTATGTTTACCAAACTGGACCAAAGGAAGCCGTCACAGGAGCTCCATCAGTGAGCTCACTCTGTGGGCTCTGATTGGCTTTGCTGCAGTCGTGACCTGCTGTGAGGTCACATGTTTGCTCGTGTTGGAGGCGTTTCCCCTCTCTGGTGTCATAACTGTTGGGTCTGTTACTCACAAGTAATGGATTACTTTTATGGAGTGTTTTAATTACTACACAGAAAGTAATTCTGTTTCCGTGACTGTGATTAATCTGAGCACTGGAACAGTCTCAGCACAAACCTTCAGCCACACCAACACATCTGATGAGGACACACAGACTTCATACGAACACAAAGCTGAACTCGGCCGATCGAGTCGAGACGACCACACCAACCTTTCTGCGCAGTCAGACTGCTGTGGACTGAGTGGGCCTGAAGACTGAGAGTAGCTGCATGTCTGAGGTGGTTGAAGTAACTTTGTTTAATGCTTCAGTCTGAAGTCATAACTCGCCCAACAGAGCGCCGCCTCGTCAGCCTGCCGTCATGAAAGCTCACAGCAAGAACAGGTTTCATGAGCCTAGTTTGACTCTTTAGGTCAAACTGTCATCAGCATGTAGAGAGGTCAGATACACAACGAGTGTAAAACACAGGCTCCTTTTATGCTTCACTGTGCTGTGACTATGAAAATCAGATCTGATCACTCTGTAAGCTTGTCGTGGTGAAGAGTTCAGGCTCCAGTGTTTGTGAGCATTCAGTGTCAACGTGGTTTAGTCTGCTCGTCGTTAGCAGAATGTCAACATGAGGTGAGCCGCACAGCGCCGTACGTGACAGACTCAGAGCGGTAACCCGTCTGTCAGAACCTTTGGATCACTGTAACCTGGTCTCGTCTCTGTCAGGGTGGGAGAACGTGTACGGCTTTGATATGTCCTGCATCAAGGAGGAGGCGATCAAGGAGCCGCTGGTCGACGTGGTGGACCCCAAGCAGCTGGTCAGCAACTCCTGTCTCGTCAGGGTAGGTGGATCGTCCTCTATCTGGGACTCGGGCAGAGGGCGGCTGAGCTGAAACATCTGGTCTGAAGGCACGTTGTCTTTTTTGTCTAGGAGGTGGACATCTACACAGTGAAGGCTGAAGACCTGACGTTCACGTCCCCGTTCTGCCTCCAGGTGAAGAGGAACGACTACATCCACGCGTTGGTTACCTACTTCAACATCGAGTTCACCCGCTGCCATAAGAGGATCGGCTTCTCTACCAGTCAGTGTGCCCGCTGCCTTTACACTGGTGTCCCAGTATGAATGCTGTCTACTGCATGAAAGCAGCTCTCATGAATGAATTTACAGTGTTGGCAGGGTTCTTGCTCTGGGTGTTCTCAGGCTTCACGTACTTGATCCACACGCTGACCTTGTGTGACACACGGGGCAGGTTAAAGTAACGGCTGGTGTAGATTACCAACGCTGTGTCTCCCCACAGGCCCAGAGTCTCCTTACACCCACTGGAAGCAGACCGTCTTCTACCTGGATGATTACCTGACTGTGAAGACTGGAGAGGAGATCATTGGCACCGTCAGCATGAAGCCAAACGTGAAGAACAACGTAAGCACAGCTCGGCCGCTCTTTGCTTCGATGCCGTTTGTCTTTGTGTAACCTGACCTGTCTCTGCAGAGGGACCTGGACTTCACCATAGACGTGGACTTCAGGGGCCAGCTATGCGAGATGTCAAAGACGCTGGAGTACCGGATGCGTTAGACGCCATTCCCGCCGTTCCTGTTTTTGTCATTAGTAGAGGACAGATCCACAGTTTGGGAGTCTGAGCGATAGTCTGACGCTCCCGCAGCAACATTTTAAAGACGTCACCTGTTCAAACATTAACAGTATTTAAATGGTTTTTGTGGCTTTCAGTTCAAAGTGCATTGGCGTGGTGCTTCATTGTGTCATATACACTCAACAAAATGTATGTTAGCATACGAAGGTTTGTCCCAACACCTCGTTGGGTTCTTGGGGTTCTGTTTATTTTGCATGGGAGAAGTTAATACAGACGCAAACTCAACCTGTCCTTCATTTGAACGGTAACCATGGCGTTGGAAAGGACACCGTTTGTAATTCAAGTGTGTAGACTGGACTGATTCTTACCGGACTTTTAGGCCACACCCCTTCAGTTCCACCTTCCCCAGCTTGAGAACAGTGTCGATGGTAACAGCTGTGTTGGCCTCTGCACAGACCGCTCTGACGTTTTCTCTTTTGTATCGTTTCTGGCTGCCACTTTTCTTTTTTTAAAAAATAAAATTCATAAACTACGTTTAACTTTCCCGAGTTGTGACGCTCTCCCAGCATCTGTGTAGAAAATCTCACCAAACAATGAATCGTTGCTTCCATGTTCAGGTGTTTGCTGCCCTAAACAACAGGTCTTTACATTTTACACTCTGTGGACTCACATTACATTCACATTAAACATGGCACGTTTAACCATCAAGTCTAGAAGTTTAAAGGAAGTAGCGTTGGTTACTGTAAGGTCCCAGTGAAAACACAGGTTCTGATGCCGCGTTCTGGCTGCATCCTGAATTCAGACGAACTCTGAATATGGGAAACAGAACATTTGGGCCCACACGTTCTCCTGCATACAGACGAGTCTGTGGAGGGACGTGTGTTAAAACGCTGTCAGAGAAGAGCTCCAGTATAATAATAATAGAGTATATAATACTCGAGTATAATAAACACTCGCCCTCATGCTTGATGCAGGTCCCGAGTTGGTCCCTGCTGCCTCAGTATGTGCACGACTTGTAAAGCATGGAGGAGAAGTGTTGTATAAGCTTTGATTGCTCGGGTTGGATAGAAAGGTGTCACACAAACAGTGTCAGCGTTGTTTATCAGCTGGTTCAGTCCCAACTAATAACTAACTAACCTCTGATGGGTAAGCACGAATGACCACAGACCTTCAGCATTGTTGTTTCACCATGAACTGGCCACCATCAGGTGCTGGCCGCGAGGAGCAGCTGCAGAGACGAGCTCACAACACGCCATCACTGATGGAGCATGTTTACCATTTGCTGACCAGCCTGTGAAATACTGGCAGCCTGATCACATGATAACGTAACCAAACTGCTGCGTGTGCAGGTCAAAGGCACAGAAACACCGTGCCAGCAGTAGGAACATCGGCTGGTTTTTAACATTCAGCTGCTTCATATAACTGAAGGAGGGAAAGACGCCACGAGACCGTCTAGATAAACATCCGCTGCCATCGACCAGGATGATGAAGGTGAAATGAGAACGTGTCATCAAACAGCCGAGGTTTGAGTTTATAGACGGTCCATCACATCACTAACAAAAGCGTTGGTGTGAACTCTCACTAAGTTTGTACAAATATCAGAATCAGGGTTTTATTGCCAAATGTTGAGCAGCTTTACAACATTAAGTACTTAGTGCAAACATACTGTCATA